CCGTGGCCCTGGCTCTGTCAGGGATGGGGCTGACGCATCATCTCCCGCAGGCGCAACCACCAGCGCGCCATGGACTCCATGCAGGCCACGCTGGATGCAGAGGCACGGGCCAAGAACGAGGCGGTGCGGCTGAGGAAGAAGATGGAGGGAGACCTGAACGAGATGGAGATCCAGCTGAGCCACGCCAACCGCCAGGCCGCCGAGTTCCAGAAGCTGGTCCGGCAGCTCCAGGCCCAGATCAAGGTTGGGTGACGGCGGTGGGACCGGGTTGGGGCTGTCCCTGCTGCCAGCCCCGCGGCTGCTGACCCTGTGGTGCCCTGCAGGACCTGCAGATCGAGCTGGATGACACCCAGCGCCACAACGACGACCTCAAGGAGCAGGCGGCCGCCCTGGAGCGCCGCAACAACCTGCTGCTGGCCGAGGTGGAGGAGCTGCGGGCGGCGCTGGAGCAGGCAGAGCGGAGCAGGAAGCTGGCGGAGCAGGAGCTGCTGGATGCCACTGAGAGGGTCAACCTGCTCCATTCCCAGGTGAGGGACCGCCGCGTCCTGCGTCTCTGCTGGCACTGGAGGGCCCGGAGCCCACACAGGAGCAGGGCCATGGTGAACTGACCCTGCTCTGCCTGCAGAACACGGGCCTGATCAACCAGAAGAAGAAGCTGGAAGCAGACGTCTCACAGCTGAGCAGTGAGGTGGAGGATGCAGTGCAGGAGTGCCGCAACGCTGAGGACAAGGCAAAGAAGGCCATCACAGATGTAAGAGTGATGGGGCTGGCGGGTGGGAAAAGAGGGGAAGCTCTCAGAACATCTTCATTGAGCCCCCAGGGCTGCCTGGGCTTGTGGTGATGCCTCTTGGCCTTGCAGGCTGCCATGATGGCAGAGGAGCTGAAGAAGGAGCAGGACACGAGCGCGCATCTGGAGCGCATGAAGAAGAACATGGAGCAGACCATCAAGGACCTGCAGATGCGCCTGGATGAAGCGGAGCAGATTGCTCTCAAGGGGGGCAAGAAGCAGATCCAGAAGCTGGAGGCCAGGGTGAGAAGGCAGGGCCAAGCCCCTCATGCTGCATCAGGCTCTGCAGGGCCCCAGCACTGCTTCGTCCTTCTGGAGCCAGACTGTACACATGGAATCCATGGGCAGTGAGGGATGGTCCCTGAGGACCTGAAAGCCTTTCCTAGGGGTTGTTCAGTCTCAGCTGTGGCTTCCCTGAGCTGGGAAGGTGTCTTGGCCTCATCTGGGGCTGGTGCTGAGCTCGCCTCTATCCCCCTGCAGGTGCGGGAGCTGGAGGGAGAGCTGGATACGGAGCAGAAGAAGATGGCTGAGGCCCAGAAGGGCATCCGCAAGTACGAGCGGAGGATCAAGGAGCTGAGCTACCAGGTACAGCAGCACCGGTCCCAGCTCCAGCCTGCAGGACCCAGCTCAACACTCCCTGTGCTCAGCCTCTGCCGTTACCCCAGTCCCCACCTTGTCCTGGGCTCTGTGCAGAGAAAAGGGGCAGGACAGGCTGCGGCCACAGCAACCACCCCCTGCCCATGGGTCAGCACCTCCTGAGCTGGGTGCTGAAGCACAAAGGGGTCTGGGGACACACACACACACACACACGACAAATGGGCAACAGATGGTGCTGTGTGCGTGTGTCTGAGGGGCCCTGGCACCACTGGGACTATTGGCTGAAGGTGTGGGGCAGCTGGACCCCCAGTTGGGGTTGGTTTTGGGTCCTGCTAACAGAGCTGGGGCACTTGCAGGCTGAGGAAGACCGGAAGAACCTGGCACGGATGCAGGACCTCATTGACAAGCTGCAGAGCAAGGTCAAGAGCTACAAGCGCCAGTTCGAGGAGGCGGTAAGTGCCTGTCCCCACTGCTGCTGCTGGCCTGGGGCAGACCACCCCAGGACGGCCGCAGGAGGGAGGGGCCATGGGGCTGATGCAGTGCCCATACCCCCCCTCCCCATGCAGGAGCAGCAGGCCAACTCCAACCTGGTGAAGTACCGCAAGGTGCAGCACGAGCTGGACGATGCCGAGGAGCGGGCGGACATCGCCGAGACGCAGGTCAACAAACTGCGCGCCCGCACCAGGGAGGTCATCGCCTCCAAGGTAAGGCCACCAGCACGGGGACAGGGCTGCAGCACCCGTGCAGCACAGCCCATGGCCCCGTCCTGCCCAGCACCGCATCTGGGCTCTCACCAAAGCTTTGCTGTGGTTCTTCCCCAGCACGAGTAGCAGGCACTGGTGCCTGCCCTGCGCCGCTGCCCGCTGTAGGTTGGAGCTGAACGGCTGCTGCCAGCTTTGCACTGTGTGAATAAACGTAGATGTGCCAGGACTTGCTCTCTTGTGTCTGTCACCGGGTAACCAGGGCCTTGGCCTTTGCTGCTGTGGAGAGCAAGCTGGGGGCTCTGGGGGTGTCCTGCACAGCCAGGCAGGAGGCAGGGACAGGACTCTGCTCTATGTCCTAACTTGCTTCAGGCTTGGGGTGGGGTTTGGGAGAAGAGCCCTGTCCTCATCCCTCCCCACCAGCCAGCCCACTTCAGCCCCCTCAGCAGCAGGGACCAGAGCTGAGGCAGGGTGGGGTGGGTGAGGGTGTCAGACAGAACACAGAATGAACACTGCCAAGGCCACCCCTAACCCATGGCACTGAGGGCCTCGGGTACACGGTGCGCGAGCGTTTCCAGAAGAGTCATTTCATCACTGCCCTGGGCAGCCTCACCGTTACTCCTGGGGAGAACATGAAAACCCCCAACTACAGTCCTGCAAAGGGCCTGAAAAGAAAGACATCTCCACTTGGTTCTTTAAAATAGATTTCTTTAATAGTTTCCATTTGAATACGTTAGTCTGCAGTTAGCGAATTGGCATTAATCCAGGCAGCACAAACCTTAGCAATCCGTGGGGACAGTGCAGGCTTCCAGCAGTACTTGTTAGGGACAGAGGGTCCCACCTCCATCCCAGAGTCCAGGCGCTCTGCCTGGCACCATGCAGGACACCTCCTCCCCATGCTCTTCGTAAGACAGACAATAAAAGGATGAAGCAGAGAGCTCATCCCTCTCAAACTGAGATGTTGAGGCATCTGCAGGGACAGATGAGCTCACAGAGATGACACCCAGTTATTATGTGCCTGCGCCCCTCTGCACGCTCATGCCCCAACACCCATGTTCCCTCTTTGGAGGAGCTGCTGTGGGTTCCTTTTCCTTCCCTGCTGACGGCCAACTTTGGCTCCTGCACCAGCCTAAAGGCCAAGGCAAAGCCAAGCTGCCTCTAGGATGTGCGCACCCCACAACCACTGGGGCCTTGGGTGATCAAAGGGAGTTCAGTTCACCCACACAGCCAGATAGCTAAGGCCAGACAGACTTTGGTCCCTCTGTGTGTTACATCAATCCAGATGTGAATGAGACTCTGGAGGCTTAGAGCAACAATCACTGGATGCACCAATAAAAGGCATCCCTTACATTAAAATCCTTTATAACTTGAAGCATTTATTTTACGCGTACATCATTACAGTTAAGAAGAAGCAAAGATACACCAAAGCCACAAGTACCCAAGAACAAAAAAAGTACAGAGGAGAAAGAAATGAGCTCAGGGGAGGGAAGGGGCAGGGAGGTGGGGACCTGATGCTGCAGCTCTGCAGTGAGGAACCAGGGTAGGGTCAGCCCAAGGCATTCAGCCTGCCAGGTGGGACACAAGGATCCTGGGAGCTCCTGCATGAATCCAGGTTAATGCACGAGCTCAGAAACTCTGAGCCCCCTGCAAGCAAAGTACCAACTGCAAGTCCAGAGCAGGACACAGAGGAGAGGAGAGGAGAGAGGGATGGGGAGAACAGGCCCTGCACGGGGGAGTTGGAGCCTTGCTCCTCACCCAGGGCCCCAGCACAGGGACCCTCAGAGTGGGCTGCATTCTGCTGGCAATGATGAGACACAATGCTTCAACCCTGGGACATCTTTTCCCCAGTACCTCCCCGGAGCCAGGACAGAGCTGAAGCCAAGTCACCTCATCAAATCAGAAAGGTTAAGAAGTGTTTCAAAGAGGACAGGTTTCCTTTAGCGGGAGCTGCGAGACAAGTTTTTGATTCAAATGCAGTGGCTCAGGACTTCAGGCTGTTATCTCATTCCTGGGAATCTGCCTTGGAGCAACACAATTACCTCTGGTGAGGAAGCAGGGCAGGTGCAGGTTTGGCAATCAGGACTGCCAAATGCCAATTCCCCCTTTTCCAACATATCCCACAATGTTCCTTTCAACCAGGAGTGTTTATTCCCAGCATTTAACACATTCTGATAGAACAGATCCAAGGAAAACAACTGACATCTCCAGTAAATATTGCACTTCAAGATTAGTGTGTGGGTTTTGCTTAAGGACTGAAATCAGAGACTGACATAAGACTTCAGGCATAGCAGGTCAGCATCAAGAGCAATGGTCCTGAAGAGGATTTTAAAAACCACATTAGTTCCCCAAGAAAGGACAAGCTGCAAGTTTACCAAAATTAGTACATTTTAATGCTCTGTGAAAGAGCCAACCCCTGCTGCAACTGTCCCAGTGCTGAGATGTGTCTGTTCTCCACAGCACTGTAACACCTTCAGGTGGGAAGGGGAAGACAGCAGGAGCAGGGGTTCTCTCCTAACACATAGATTTAGTACCAAATGATCCAAAAGGAGATGGTAAAGAGGTGACTGGAGCTGGGGCTCTCAGGAATTAAAAGCACACACACATGCGCGCGCACACACACACACACACACACACTCACACTCTAACCACCCCTGAAACCCTGGTTCCAAACCCCAACAGAAGACTTGCACCCAAGGGAGCCCTCGTGGTGGCTCCACACATGGCTGGTGGCTGGGTCCTGGTCACACTGGCTCCTTGGACCTCACATCTGGAGGACAATTCTGTGCTTTTCGACTTGCTTATTCTGGAAGAGCCACAACTCAACTGGCACATACAGAGCATCCTCTCACAGGGCTGTAAAGAACGATCTCTGACCAGCCACGCTGGGCTGGGAAGAGAGAAAAGAAAGAGTCTGGTTTTTGCAGGTAATGGTTTTTATCCCAGAACAGCTGGAAGATACATCCCTGAATGTGTTACCCAGAGAGCTCTCAGAGTCTCATCTGTTAGAGATCAGAGATGGGGATGGGGGGGGCTGGGGTTGGGACAATGCTCCACGGTTCCAAGCCGTGCACACACACACACTCCACAGCATATCCCTGAAAATCCATGGGCTGTGAGGGACCCTCCAAGCACTGTCCATCAGAATCTGGAGTGAAGAGTTACTCCTCAGCAAAGTCTCTGTCAACGTCCATATACGCCTCGTCGATGTAGCTAACTATGGCACAGGGGGATGTCCGGTCTGGACTGAGCAGTATAGATACAGTCTCTTTCCAGTAGGCAAAACTAATACATGAGCTCTGTGGGAAGAGATGAAGAGGTTGGTTAGTGAGGTCCACAGGCACTGACATGCAGCAGAAGGCACATCCCAAAGGCATTCAGCAGAGGGAACTGAGAATTGCTTCTCATTCAGCCCAATTTGCCCAGCCCCTCCTTGCCAGGGCAGGGAGCAGAAGGGGTGGGAAGAAGCTCCTCTTCAGGTACCTCATCTATAGGAGACTGCCTGCCCATCACTCATGACAGCCATATGGCTGTGTTCTGCAGTTAGATATGCACCAAAGAAGGGCTTTCTTAAACACATTAAAATCTGTTAAAGCTGCCACTCAATCACTGAAAAATCAAGGAAGGAACCTGTGCAACCTCCCTTCAGCCTTCTAGTGCATATACAAAGGAGCTGTCTTCTCATCACAGGTCATTTATTCCTCTTCTTAGTGCCCAAGACAGACCAGCTCAAGTGGAAAAGAGTAGGCTGCTTTCCTTGTATTGTATGTCCCTTGTATGCCCCCTTGTAAACAGGGCAGCTGCCCTGTATTGGAGCAGCTGCACCAGACTGTTTTCCTGCACTGTGCCACACCAGAAGAGAGGGGACAGTCTGGTTAAGGTGCTAGCTATTGTTAAGGGTGGATTCTGTCCTGCCTCCACACCCCTGTGCAGGGCTGTTCACCTCACCAGCCCTGCCTCTCAAACCCACCCAGCACTAGCAAGTCTCACTGTGTGCCAGAGCAAGACCTAAGGGCCTACTTGCAGGAAAACCCAGCATCTACCTTGTGAAGTCTGACTGCTTGCGGAAGGGACCTGACTGGGAAGATGGTGTGAAAAGCACTACACAAAGTCACACTCTGGAGCACAGCTTGCTCCTTTCTTTCCCTTCACCACCTCTCACTTCCCATTTTTGCCAGCTGACTAGTGGACAAAATGCTGTAACTGATTCTTTCAAGGCTAAGGGGCTCACATACATTTTCTAAGCAGGTGCTGTCTTTATCCTTGTTGAGGTAATGCTGCTGCCAGAATCGCAGGAGACTGTGGAAGTTGTTCAGGATGAAGCCTGGGTATTTTTCTGTGTACTCCATCTGTTGCAAAGTGTGCAGATAAAAAGGCAGCTTTTCTTTCCTTCGGGCCAGCATTAGGATAACTAAACTTGTGTTCAAACAACTGACATTTTCCTAAAGGTAAAAATGACACAGTAGGTGAGACAAGAAAACCCCAAACCAACCATAAACCCCCCTGAGGTATCAGCTGTACACATCCTTACAAATCATGCTTATGGTAAGCAAGAGGAGCTCCTATGTGTACCAAGAAGGGACATGCGTCTCCTGAAGAGAAGGCAGGTTCCTCCCTGCTCCCAGCCCAGTTCATCACTACACAATATCAGCAATCTGCAAAGTTACTGTCAGCTCTTTACCTGTGTAAGTGTCTGTACATGAATAATATTAATGAGACGGAAAAGAAAGGACATTCTCATGGACATCTGGGACATATATGACAACAGGCGGCACTCTGACAGGACTTCTGCAACTGCAGCGAGAAGAAAGAGACAGTCATCAGGTGCTTAAAGTTCAGGCAGGTTGGTCCAAGCAACATGGCAGTAAGGGCTGGTGCTCAGACCGTAGCAACAAACACACAGAGTGGTGCTTCTCAGGCTAAAATGAAAGTTTTCAAACCCCAGACTTTAAATAACCACTGCCGGTACCAAACACCCCAAACACCGCTTCTTATTCAAGGGCCTGTAAGGACAGGCCAAGGGGAATGGCTTTAACCTGCCAGAGGAGAGACTGAGATGAGCTCTTAGGCAGAAGCTCTTCCCTGTGAGGGTGCCCAGAGAAGCTGTGGCTGCCCCATCCCTGGCAGTGCTCAAGGCCAGGTTGGACACAGGGGCTTGGAGCAAGCTGCTCTAGTGGAAGGTGTCCCTGCCCGTGGCAGGGGTTGGAGCTGGATGAGCCTTGGAGCAAGGTCCCCTTGCAAGCCAAACCAGTCTGGGATTCTGTGATTCTTTACCTTTAGCATCAGACTGATTCTCAAATCGGTCCAGGGACAGGGTAATGCAGCGAACAAGCATGTTTGAGTCAACCAGTGAACTGTTGATCTGATTTAAAAATATCTGGAACTAAAGAGAAATAGTTTTTAGTACTGGATTAAAAAAAAAACCAACAAAACCACCATCCTACAAGCACACCCACAGAGGAGGTCTGAGAACAGCATTTCGTATCTTCAGAATGGGTATGGCCAAGGGGTGTGATAACGCAGTTACTCTGTGGCAGAAGGGGAACAGGTCAGTTAGGAAAACCTACAAACAGGGTTTGGCAAGTAAAGCAACATTAAGTGTTCTCCAGGTGTTTAACACTGAAATTGAACAGTTCTTGAAGGATACTGGAGAAACCACCTGAAGTTCTGAGCGCAAGCACCCAAAACGTGCACTTCAATGTAGTGCTTCAGACATGGACAATTTCTCTTTCCCTTCAGAAAGGTCAGTTCTGAATGCCCAAATGCTCAGGGTCATTTCCTTTTTTGTTATCCCCAACAAGAAAAAGAGGAGATCCATACTCCAGGGACTGCCTCATCCACCTCAAGCCAACTCCAGCACTGAAGGCTGCCCAAAGGATGCCTACAGCAAGTACTTTAAAAACACTATGGCAAAGGAAAACACCAAAGTCCTGGCACCACTCAAATCTCTTTTGAAGCTAGGTCACTTCAATGAAGCCAAGATTTCATACACTGTTGGTTTTGAAAGAGGGAAATGAGTCAGCATAGCTGCTGGGCTCTCTAGTTCCTCCAGCTCCATGTTTTCCTACACTTTCTCTGTACAAGCAGACAGTGCTAAGGAGGAATAACGCGGAGAAATACAGAATGACGATTAAAGAAATTATAGCTTGATAAATAGGAAGCACACACAAAGTGTAAGGACAGATTCTCTAGAAGGACTGAATTCATTTACCAGAAAACCACCTGAAATTAAATACATCTTTCTTTTAAATGCACCTCTGCTTCTATCCTCCCTGGTCCTTCAGACTTAACAGCAACCAGAGAAACATTTCAGTAACAGAAGCAAGAGTATGAGGTGACTCAAAGCCTATCCAACAGCTGATGTTACATGCACAAAGTGCACAAGAGCATGCAACCACTCTGCATAGAGTTGCCCATTCCTGATCTACATATACAGCCAAGTTTTATAGGTAATTACATCAGCCTTGTATGTAATTGCATGTAAATTCACGTAACATCAATGTATGTCTTTCTACAGCATCAAATATTGAGTATTTAAAGTCATCTCAATGAAGAACCCTTAAAGCTCCAGTAAAAGTTTTTTCTGAGCCTGTCTCAACATCCACAACTATCAACTTAACCCAAACCCCAGTGACTTCACAGGAAATGTTCTACCATAAACCCTGACCTTAGCCCTGCCTGATCATGCAACAGGGCAGAATTTTCTGAGCAGCCCAGTGCCTGCTGACTCACAAGGGCTGCGACACTTCTGAGAACATGAGTGTATGCAGCAACACAGATGCTTGTGAAGTCTTTGGCAGCTCATTCCTTAGTGTTAATTGTGCACCAAGCTCAACAATCACACCAAAATCGAATACATCTGAGCTTTAGTGCTACATCTGGCTGCATTGTAATGTATGTAATGTGACCCAATTGGCACAGCTTCTGCAAGTATTTACCTTCTCATCTGTGTTGATGTACTTGTTGAACCTCTTGAATGCATCAATATTGAATTTCATCAGCTCTCCCAGAAGGTCAAAGTAACTCTGAAGCACATCTCGTGATTTGCACTCACTATCAACAATGCAGTAGAGAATATGCTGGCATGGGAGGAAAACATGTTATTGCCACAGTTTAGTCCAAGCCAGCAGTACAGCACAGACTGTGATGTAACCACTAAAACAGCTATCTCCAGGTTTAGTTCTGAGAAGACAGAACTAAAGACTACAATGCAGATGAGAGTTCTGTTAAATTAATCCCAGCGATTAACTTAAACAGGGGAAGTTCAGGTTAGATATAACAAAGAAGTTCTTTACTGTGAGGGTGCTGAGGCACTGGCACAAGTTTCCCAAAGTAGTGGTAAATGCTCCATCCGTGGCAGTGTTCAAGGCCAGGTTGGACAGAGCCTTGGGCAAAATGGTCTAGTGTGAGGTGTCCTGGCCCACGGCAGGGGGCTGAAGCTGGATGATCTTAAGGTGCTTTTCAACCCAAACCATTCTATGATTCTGTACACTTCGTTACCTCCAGGAGTCCTCTCTTCAGCAGGAAGATCTGGTCTGCATAGGAGGTGGTCCCCCGCAGAAAACTTTCAACTGCCCTCGCTTGCCAAAACCTGAGAGAAAGAAGAAATGAGGTTTTCATTTTGGAGCAAGGGGAATATTTATCACAACTATTGTTTCAATCAGATTTCCTGAGCTGTTTCATTCCAATCTAAAGCTGGAGTCAGACCTGCTGATCCTGCAGAAAGTCACTGTGCTGGGTGTGAGGTCCAACACAAGCTCTGGCATTCCCCCTCACCTGCACTACCACAGCAGACAAGTGCAACAAAGCCAGATCTTTTCATAGGTTATAATTTTCAATGGCTATAAACTGCACGAAAACAAACTGACTTCCCAGTCAACTCTAAAGAGCTCCAGCACAAGTGAACCCACCTGAAGGAGGATTCAGCCGGTTCCTTCTTCATAACCTGAAGCAGTCTGGTCAACAAACCCCTTTTCCCATCACAGACAAGACTCCTAGAGCACATGAGGAAATCACAGCATGAGTGGAAGGGCTGCCAAGCTCTGTACCTTATAGAACACTGAATCCAGTCTCTTCTCCAGAGCTTTTAGTAATCAAAATCCCAGTATTAAATATATAGTACAAATATTCATTGCTAGTTCTACCAATGGAAGAACTCTCCTCACTGCCTTTGATGAACATCTGCAATAAAAAGCTGCAACATGACTTCCAAACAAACCCTAAAGAAAAATGATTCATTTCCTCTCAAAATTGTAATGATTTCAAAAATACCAATTCACAGCTTGTAGTGTTGAAGAGTTAGAAAAAAATGCCATATATACCATATTTGTGCTTAGGAATGAAAGAAACACAGGCCTTTTTTGCTCAATAGATGTAAAGGAAGCTCCAAGTTCTGTTTAAGGAGACAGAGTATGAAAACCCAAATGCTACATGAAGTAGCCTTCATGAGTGTAGCACTAAAAACACAGAGGCTGTAGAACTGCAACACTATTTGTATTAAACAGCATCTTCAGTGAGCATCTACCTACAGCAACCTTGTGCAAAAGCAATGCCTTGATTCACCCCTGGCAGTACTCAAGGCCAGGTGGGGGTGGCAACTGGATGAGCTTTAAGGTCCCTTCAACCCAAACCATTTTATGATCTCATGTATAAGGAAAATCAACATGGAAACAAAATGCTAAGGGTGAAAAAGATACCAAGTTTAGGTCAGAAACTGAGCAATGCTGCCTGTCAGGCGACACAAGCCACCCTGCAGAGGCAGAATGAAGCATTTCAAGCTGCACCCTCCTACTCAAAATGCCCCAGGATGCAGGTTCAGCAGATACTCCCAGGTTAACTGCCATGTACTGGATCAGTACCCTTACTGAGCAGTCAAGAGCCAGCTGGAAAAGCCCTTGTGGGAAGCAGCTGTTTCGCAGTGTGAGTCTGTTCTCACTACCACTTGAGAGAGATGAGAAACTTTGCAGGCAGGAAGAAGCTCCTTTAGTGTGCTCCTAACTGGGCGAATTCTTTCTCCTAAATACTCACCCCTTTTTGACCAAAGCCAGAAGGGTACCTGTGCTTAGAAAGGAAGGATCTGAGTAATACAGACAGCATTTCTTCCCAATTAGGCACAGTATTATAATAATTTTAATCTTCTCTTAGAGAATTCCCTTTAGAAGAGAGGTAAATCTGCTCTGGGAGCCCAGGGCCCGGCTCATACTCTGGGACTATCCTGATAACTGAATTCTGCAAATATTTCAACCTGGGAGGTTTGTGCATCAGAATCATGTATTAAAGAGCTTATTAAGTCAAAATAGTCAATCTAACAGGTACTCAAATCTAACACTACAGATTCACAAGTAGTTTAACATGTTAATCTAATTTAGCTTATTCTAGTTATCAGCTGCTCTTAAAATAAAGACTCTGAGTAGACATATATTTGTGCAGACCGGAAACAGACATTGTGTATGCACAGACTGCTCCTGAATCTCTAAGTTTTATTAGTAGCAGCAATTCATGCATTTAGGGGATACCAGTTTACTCAACAGGTCTGTTTGTAGTGCCCATAGTGAGAAGGGCCAGACAAACAGGCCTTTGGAAAGCAAATCATGACGGAGTCTGGTCCATGAACTCAAACTCCCTCTTTCAGGTTGCTTTTGTTTTATAAAGAGCCTTACTCTGAGCACAAGCCCATTTTAGTTTTGCTAAAGACCACGAACATCATACAAACCTAGCCACTTCCTGCTGAAACACTGGAACTAAAGCAAGTGTCTAGGACAGAAGGACCCCAAATAAATCAGGTGACATCAAACCCCAAGTGCTTGCAAAACTTCAGAAGCTACTGCAATAACCCTTTATCCCTACTCACCTGTCTGTGTTGACAACTGCATCAACTTCAGGGATGTTGGCTTTATGGGAGATTGCACTCAGCTCGTTGAGTTCTTGGCTGTTTAAAAGCAGATACTTGTTCCTACAGCAGGACATTTGGGGAGTTGGGGAGAAAACGCAATGAATTCAAGAGGCAAATGTGCAATCCCATGAAGAGTAAAGCTACACACCTATGAGGGCTGCAGGACCAGGCAAGCAGCTTCCACCTCTCTGACACTGCTCCCCTCACCACAGCGCAGCAGGCCAGCTACCTGCTGCGTTGTGAACCTCCTCCCAAACCACCAAATGCCAGTTTCAACACTGACCACCTCGGAGATGGTGGTGCTTTGCTGTTCAGGATCTTATGGTTTGGTTTTTAAAATCTCAGCAACATTTTGCTGAATTTCAGAAGACTTAAATCAACTTTTTCCCACAGCTTCCTACAGTTTCTCTCTGCCCTATAGTGACCATGCTCTTTGTCAGTAGTAAATCTCAGAAAGTAGGCACTGCAAGAGAAGTCCTCAATCATCCTGGTATTTTACTACTTTGAACAAACTGTTTACTCTGGATAGATTAAAACACTTCACGAAATGCAGAAAACAGAACAGGGATGGATACAAGCCCCAGGAATTTGCATGGAATTCATTTTCAAATACTACACTTTTCCTAATGAAAATCAATTAGTCTAGCTGTGAAGTAAATGAAATGCAGAAGAAGACTGACAGTAGAAATGTAATCCAGAGGCTCCCTTTGAGAGACTCCCTGCCCAATGCCAGTGTGCTCCCATAGAGCCCTCCAAAGTGCTCAGAATCAACTGCAAAGTTGTATTTTCAGGAGCCCTAAAGGAACACAGGATGCAGTGATGACTGTGAAGGTGTGCAAAGAGATCTATTCAGCATACATAACTACACAGAAGATAAACTGTTAGACCAGAAAGGTGATGGGGATGCCTTCTTGCTTCGAACACTGGCTTCCAGATAAGTGCCCACTGAGGCTGTCACATGGAGCTTCTTTTGATCTGGATCAACAGGTTTCTGTAATGAAAATACAGCCTCTCTTCCCAGGCAATAAACAGTCCCACAAGTGTGAGTTTATACATAGTCTTACTGAATACTAGCACAGAAGTAGTTGCTCTCATCTTGTCCTTGGCTAACTCAGCATATCTGTGAGCTCATGTAATTCTTTAAAACCCCAAACCAGATTCCACACATTCCACTTGCTCAAATGTTACAGCTGAAAGCTCTGTTTAAACAAGCCTGAGATCTTTGTAGTGGTCACTCAAGCGGGAATATCATCTAAAGAGATTTTATTGGAAAACCTGGAATGATTCCTGGGCAAACAATGTCTTGCAGGGAGGATTTACAATAGGTCGGCCTTACCCTTCTGCTTATAGTATGTCCAGCAGCTCCCCAGTCTTAAAGCTAATCCTGCACAATAAAAAGGTTGATATTTCCATCCAGTACTAGATCAAACCTACACACAGTATCACTGGCTGCACATCTGAGCAGGGAAGCAGTGCCATATGCTTCAAAGGCAGATGTTTGTAAGCAACAGAACACCACCTTGGAGGACTGAATTAGAGCACCAGGACACTGTACTGCAAGATATGATTCTACATGTCAGAACAGAGCAACAAATACCTTTGTAGCAGCAGTACAGCATTTATAGATCACTATTCCAGCAGACTCAACCTTTGCAAGTCTGCCTTTTGAAGGCAAACAGAAGCTTTCTTCCTATTTCCAACCTAGCTTCCCAATGGCTAGCTGACAGATAACTGTTCCTTTAACATTTTCCCATCCAGTTTCATCAGGTCTTCTCTGTTGCTGGCATTCAGACACCAATCATGTCTCCCCAGCCTTTTGAAAAGGCAAAGGAGTCTTGATTAACCTCTTCAGAGGTTGTCTTTCACCTTGATCTTCCAAACTGAACATGTCCTCACAGGGTACATGTGCTCTTGTGAGCACACTGGCTCACTACCAACTCTCAGAGAAAAGACAGATAAAGAGCAGCATGAAAGCTGCCTCCTTATTCCCTCAGCCAGAAAGTGCTTACTCATCATATAAACGTTTCAGTTCATTGCAACACAAAGCAAAATGGGCTATTTCAAATCATTAACAGACATGTTAAGACATGCCCACTGCAGAGCATGTCCATAACATCTTCACAGCAGGAGCTGAAAGGCACATGAGCATGGAATCAAGTTTAAGGACTGTACAATGTTCCATTCACATGGATCCTGCACCATGCTTGGGACACCCACTGTAACTGCAACCAAACACACCGAGCCCCAGTCTCCCACAGCTTTCCATACTCACTCATGGTGATCACTAAAGCTCTGAAGAAGCCTCAAGAACTGGATCTTCAAAGTAATGTCCTAAAAAGAGACAAGAAAGGTCAACAGATTTTGCTTTACTTGTGGATATCATTAGTTACCAAAGCTGACATGAAACAGCTGAACTGAAAACCTATCCAAACCAAACACATCTGGGCAGCAGAGCAAGTGACTTGCATAAATGGAGAAGGCTGCACTTTGCAGGCTTCCCAAAATAGAACAGAAGTGGAGATTGTCCCCCAGCCTGTGCATGAAATGGTTAATAATTTTCCACTCCCCCCAGAAGACCTGACTGTGATCCATTTGTGTTCTGGGCCTCTCTTTGCTAGACCCACTTGCTACCATGTCCTTAATTTTGGTCATCTTCCACCTTTGGCCTCCAGGGACCACAGAACCCTTTCCCAGTTCCCAAACTAAGAGAGAGTGGAGAGGGTAAATTGCCAGCATGAACCAAAGATAAAGACTTAAGCAGTAATTCACCAAAAAAATATGAATGCACATCTCCCTTTCTTATCCAAGCACCCAGTTACTCAATACAACCACCCAGAATTAAATGATAGGATAAAAATCCAATATAACATTTAAGAAGTTACTCACTGGGCTACAATCACAATTCTGGTTGTGTCCATGCAGAACCAGGGCTGATGCTGAATGCTTTCTCCAGATCAGTTTGTCAAACAAGTTATTGAGACCAGGAATCAGTTTGAACTCTGCTATCATTTTATGAACCTGGAAAGCAAGAGAAGCATATACCCAATCTGGACAGAACAGTCTGGTAAACAGATGGGCACAATTATGTCATCCTCTGACAACAGAAAGAGTGAATTCCTTTAGCAAACAGCATGTGTTTGTGGTTACATGCACACTGACTATGGTGTATCACTACAGCAGTTTCCATTTGGTGGAGATGGATAAAAAACAGACATTTTGAGAGAACACTGTTAGCCAATGCTTCAGTTAACCACCCTGCCTCTGGAAGCACAGGTTTTCATTCCCATCTATATGGAAATCACATTCCTGCTGCTGGACATCTCTGAATATCACACCTGAGGAAGCATGCAGCTCCTTCCCACCTCACCCACAACACCCTAACAGACTGCAAAGCTTGGAGTCCTTTGGTGCTCCCTCACTTTAAAATGCTCTCAGACACTTTGGTCTAGTCACAAGCCTCCAACAACAGCAGCTCTGAGCAATCTCTCTGAACATAGCACTCCCTGTAGTCCCTCAGTGGCCAGAACGGCACAAGCACAACAGATTAAACCCAGTATATGAGCTGCTTGCAAGAGCCTCAGTCCCTCACTAAAGGAGGAGCTCTCTGTGCTCATCATTTTAACTCCTGAATCTGCTCTTTTCCACACACAGCATAATCTGCTTATTCCAAATGACTCTTCCCTAAGTAAACTGAATACATCTGAGATTAACTCACAAGTTCCCACTTGACAGATGGCTGCATGCCAAAGCTGCTGAGTCACAGTCACTGCCTTTGGATCGTGCACTCCCTTCAGACCCCAAACTCCTCACAGCTACTGGGCCCAGGGATGCCAAGACAACCTCTGCTCTATATTCATTCTTCAAACTCCTGTGAGCTTTTCCTGTTGCTGCCCAGCTTCACACGAGTTGCTCTATTTCTTTCTCACCACTAACACTACTATGAGCTTCTGCTGCATGCAGTTGGGCTCCCTGTAGAAGGAACAAGTAACTCAGCTGACTGCCTTTCACCACAATACATGTATCTCCTTACACATATACAAGGAGAGTAATTTAGAGTGTGACCATAAGAAGAAGGAAGCAAAGGCACAGATCTGCAGTGAAACACCACTTATCCCCAAGAGCATGATCATCCCTAACACACAACAGGTACAAGCCAGGCCACTGCTACCACAGCTGCCAATTCATGCACATTAGCCAGCAGTCAGGTTTAAACCAAGGATTTAGAGTAACCATCCAAAACCAGGTTGAGTTTGTCAGGAAGCTGCATCATGCTTCAAGCAAATGCTAGACCATTATGTTGATTATTACAGTGGACTGAGGCAGGTTTGCGATGTCCTGTAGAAATCCTATGCAAAATTAGTCCAATATAAAACCAGTAAGAACTTTGGCTGCTCAGACTGGATGACTGATAGCACAGATCAGTGCTTTTATTCCCTCACAGGAAAAGAGATCCCATCAAGCAACTGAAATGCTTATCAGTGAGAGTGCTGTTGCATTGGAGCTTTCCACATAGAACAGCTCAGATCCAGTTCTCCATCCAGCTGCCTCTCAGGAAGGGGAACGGATTTACATTTCTTTCAAAGGCAGTGGATTTTACTGAAAGACCTGGATCTGGACAGAAAGTGTTTGGGAATGGAGTAACTCAAGTCTTTCAAGAATTCAATTCCAGTCTTGAACCAGCCCTGCAGAGTGAGCCACTAGCTTCATCCTTAGCCACTTTCACTGTTTGCATGGGGGCAGAAGCAGCAGAGGAGGAATAAAGAGCTGTTTTTCCCAGGAAATGGAAAAAAAAAAGTCAAGTTTAAAGCTAGCTATTCCAGCAGCAAACTGTCCACCTTGTCTCATTTGACAGCACCACCCCAGAAGTGACCCAGGAAGCCAGCCCCTCCACCTCCCTGAACAGGCAGCAGCACGATGAGCACAAGCTGCAAGTACTTTCTAGAGTATCTATAAAGCTGCATTCTTGTGGTGAAACCAGGTAGGGATCAGTTATCTGACTCCATACAATAGGAAAAAACCTCCTCCCAACAGATCCATGCTCTGGTGGGTTTATGCCCAACAGAAACAGTACTTCTAAAAGCAATGAAGTACTTTTAAGAACAGTGAAGTACAACAGGATTATGAGCTTCTTATGGTACTGATTGTGGTTGCTGCAAGAATTGCTGGTTTCTTATGGTTACTATTATACTGAATCTATTTCTTTTCAGTGCCGAGTACCAGACTTCAGAGTGACCAGGTGAGTTATGTTTGTGACTGTGCTACAAAAGCACTTCTATTTTAAATTCAGATTAAGAGACTTAAGAGACTGCATATTTGTAACTCCTAAACAGCAGGAGGTTACAAGTACAGAACAAAATACTCAAAGTGTGCTCAAGCAACAGCCCAATACAGCAATTCTTGCCTAATACAAGAGCCCTTCAACAGCTCAGAACAATCTGATCCTCCCAGTCTCTAGGGCATCCAAATGCCCCTGCTATTCCAAGCTGCTCTGTTGAGCTGAGCAGGCTGCCAGTGCTGGAAATCTGTCAAAACTGCATCAACAGATTGCTTTTCTTTTTCCTTCACAATATGCTTTTGACCAGTTTCTAGCAAAATACAGCCAAGCTGCAGTGACTGGTTCTCCATAAGCCTATGGAAGGCAGGGAACAAGTTATTTTTCATTCTGAAAGCAAGAAATACAAAAGTGAATGAGTGTGGGATTTCTAGGCAGCACCTAGAGCAGACAGCCCTGAAGTGTACCCTCCCAGCTGAGAGTTCAACACCACACTCAGCTGAGACATGGGAACATACTGCAAAAACCACCCAGTCACCCCAGAGGATCTTCCAGAAGTGAAAGCAACCAGAGAAGGGGAAGAATGAATGGGCTCTGAACAGGTCACCAGCGCACCAAGAAGGGGAAGAACACGTAACTGCAGCTCCTGAAGCATCCAGGTACACCCACACCTTTCCTCACACACAGACAGGATGCCTCATCCAGAAGCATCCTCCTGCACCCATCCAGAGCTCTGGAGACTGACACCGCCCCGCCACAGGTCAGCACAACCTGTGTCAAACCTTGCTCAATGGCTCATGCTGGCTCTCAATGACGTTTGTTTGTGCAACCCTGTGGTGACAGGATTTGCCCAGCTTTACACCTTGAGCTTTGCCCTGCATGTTTTTGTGCCCATGACCTAATTCATGTATATTTAGGTTTAAAGAGATGTTACCTTCTGCATGAGTGACCCTTTTCAAGTGCTCACCTGATTCCTCTGTCTCCCCATGAGCAGCACACAAAGAACATACAACACCTCCAGCTTATACATGATCTCGTGCATGATCTTCATGGGCTGTGGAAGCTGTGCTCGTGTCGAGGTGTTGGCTAAGCCACTCTCATCTGAAGATTCTGAAAAGATGGAAAAGATGTAAGCCTGAGGCAGCTTCAACAGGAAAGGATTTGTAGCAACTATTACTGGTACACTGAAACACCTCAGGTGTAAATCCAGCATGTCTGCTTGAATCTTAATTAAAAATAGTGCCATGCAGCAAAGAACCAACTTACATTAAATGCTACAGAAGAGAAAAATAGAGCTGCAATAAAATAAAATTAGATTTCTTAAAATTATTTTTTTTTTCCATGGATGAAGGGCATTGTCTACCTAAAATAAGCAGGATCACCTCTATGAACTAGCAGATTACTGCACCAGAAAGGACATGGCAGAAAGGGTAATAAAGGTAGGGGTGAGATCATCAGAAGCATTTACTATTTGCCTATTCTCATTTCATACCTCAGTACCAGTATACTTAGGCCATAGGTAAATAATTTTCATATCCCTGTCTAGTATTATACTGCTAAGGGCAGAAACAGGACATAACAAACCATGGCGGGGGGGGGGGAGGAGGGGGGGTGGAACTGGATGATCTTAAGGTCCTTTCCAAGCCACACCATTCTATGTTTGCATGACAGAAATCATGAGTGACATAAAGTCAATAAAGACATAGTGAAACTTGTAGGCTGCAGTTCAGAAAGGAGTTAGCTCACACAAAGCGTACCTAAGGGCTGAACTGTCCTGCCTGCCACAGGACAGCATGAATGCTTGTTGAACCCATGTGAAGAAACAGTAACTACGCAAACACACAAAGGAAGGAAACTACCAAAGGCACAAAAGCGCAGATGCTGACTCTGACTCAGAGTCCCCAAGCCACAAGCTACTGGACACTGAGGCAGTGTTCTGGGAACGTGCATCTGGGTTTGTGTCCTGGGTTCAGCAGTAGCAGTCATTTTTCTCCTTCTTAGTAGCTGCTGCAGTGCTGTGTTTTTGACTTTCAGCCTGGGAGCAGCGCTGATAACACCGATGGTTTTAGTTGCTGCTCAGTCATGTTTAGTCTGACCAAGGACTTTGTGAGCCTCATGCTCTGCCAGGGAGGAGGGGAAGCCAGGAGGAAGCAGAGACAGGATACCTGACCCAAACTGACCAAAGGGTATTCCATACCACAGCACGTCATGCCCAGTATATGAACTGGGGGCAGTTACCCAGAAAGGCGAGATCACTGCTCAGGTAGGGCTGGGTATCGGTCGGCGGGTGGTGAGCGGTTGTATTCTCTCCCCTTATCATTATTATTATTGGTGGTAGAAACAGTGATTTGTCTTATACCTTAGTTACTGGATTGCTCTTATCTCAGTCCATGGGAGTTACATTCTTTCGATTCTCCTCCCCATGCCTCCAGGAGCAGGGAGAGGAAGAAGGTGGGGGGGGAAGAGAGAAAGCAGCTGCGTGGTTCTCAGCTACCTGCTGGGTTTAAACCACAAGTTTGCTTGCTGACTGATGTTGTGGGTCAAAAGCTGTGACTGGGCATGTTCCACCTCAGCCTTGAGAACTCTGCTCCAGAACACCAAATGCCCTCCGGTTTCACAAAGTCCCAGGCTCATCTGGGTTGAAAGGGACCTTAAAGCTCCTCCAGTTCCAACCCCTGCCACGGGCAGGGACACCTTCCACTAGAGCAGCTTGCTCCAAGCCCCTGTGTCCAACCTGCCCGTGAACACTGCCAGGGATGGGGCAGCCACAGCTTCTCTGGGCACCCTGGGCCAGCGCCTCAGCACCCTCACAGGGAAGAGCTTCTGCCTAAGAGCTCATCTCAATCTCCCCCTCTGGCAGGTTAAAGCCATTCCCCCTGTCCTTTCCACCATGTTGGTGCGTATAAAGCTACATGAAAAATGCTGCTATTGACATTTCATGGGGGGTTTTGTGTATTTTCAGAAGGTCCAATAATTGTTACAAAACTACTGAAGCTGGATAAGGAGAAAGTTTTCTAAAGCAGCACAGAAGCAAAGATGTAGGTATCAAAATTTGGGGTTAATTCTCATGACGTTACCAGGTACTTTGAGCTCTCCAAGACATACAATGCATTTTGTAAGGGTGAAGAAACAAACCCTGTGTTCCCTTCAAAGCATTTTTTAAGGTTGTATTAACACTTCCACACACTCAACCTGGAGCAGTTATTTTATTTCCCAATTAACTTATTTAATTTTCCTGGCACTACCTTTCCTTTTAAAAGGAGGGATGCCTTGCTTGAGACCAAGTATTTGGACCTAAAGCCATCAGCTTAAGTTTTAGAGCAAAATGCTGGCGAGGTCACTTACCTCAGGTATGTGTTATTTCTGTCACTCCAAGGGAGATCAGTGCTGAGGATGTACAGTGTTACAGTGTTAGTACTATTTAGGCATGCAAAGGGCACATTTCCTTCTGCTAACTTTAGTTCATGAGGAAAAACAATCCATGCTACATGAGGACAAAACAGTAGTCAGACCTAAATGCTGAGCTGGTGGTTTTCCAAGAAAGAAATGGGAAAGGAAAAGCAACGCATGGCAAACACTGTAGAAGGTTAAGGTATGCAGCAGCTAATGGTGGCTAGAGGAATGCAAGCCAGATACCTGTACTGCTCTGCTCTGCCTCTTCATTTGCCACTCTCATCAGTGTATCAAGCACTAGTGCATTGTCCAGCCCCAGCCAGGTGTACCATTCTTCCAACTCCTGGAGGAAGCTAGAAGTACCTGTTGTTTCAGACACCTTCCGTGTTGCCAGTTTGCACAAGCGCTCAATGAAGCCTGGAATATTCAGAAGTGTAGCTGAAAAAAGAAATCCAAGTATTAATTATGATTGAAAATAACCAACACAACACTCATCACATCCTCTACACCACAGGGTACCAAAACACCTCCATTAGTAATATGAAAGAGTGCACAGAAACTAAACCCATCTGGTTAAAAAGATGGAAGAAGTCAGTGCACTCTCCTGTTAAGGACTGGCAGAGAGTATACACACCCTAGAAGTAATTCAATCAGCGTTAAACTGGTTTGTGTAACTAGTTCTACCCTACTCTAACTGCTTGTTTCCACCCAATTCCCTCTGCTGGCACTGCTGGTTTCCAGTCCATAGCGAGTCAATACCAAGGAACTGATCTGGTTGAAAAAATCAAGCTGGCATAAATAAAGAAGCAGCCCTTCGAAGGGGCAGCTCCACCTCCTCTTCCATCTGTTGTGTGATGCTACCTCCTCTCTTTACCTCCTATGGTGTGTCTCACTGCACACCGAACCAGCTTACTTCAGGAGCTGGGGAGAAAGCTGTTAGCTTTTTAAGTATGGTTTCCTGAATTAGTTCTTCATGGAGCAAAACAGATGGGAAACATGTAACAGCAGCCCCAAGTCAGAGGGTTTTAATTGTGGAACTGCACCCTCAGAAACAGCAACTCAAGGACAGAAGTCACTGGTTTGCAAAATGCTTGGGGAGGTGCCTTTTGTCCTAAAGATTTCCCAGAATATCTCAATTACAGCCCTGTTTCTTATAGCTACATGGCTAAGTCTTCACACTGCAGGTGTAACTAGAAAAGGACTATGTGAAAGAGTTGAGATTCTGCCCGCTGGTACCATGTCTGAAAGAAACAGCTTCCTGATAATTTTAACATGGAATTGGCAAACAAAAACTGGTTATAAACGCTTGCTTGGCTAAGTTCAGCTCTTCAGGATTCAAGTTTATTCAGTTCAACAACTTCGTACCCACATCTATGTGTACTTGTCCCCTGCTCTTTACAAGCAACCTCTGGTGATTGCAAGGCAGAAGACAATACAAACCCTTTTAAAGCTTCTTGCAGCTTCTGCCTGCTGTATTATGTGTCTGTCTTTCCCTGGATGCTGTAGAGGTGACAGCAGTTACAAACTGAGCTTTCCTGTTCATGCCTAACACAAAACATTGGAAAACAGGAGAACCAGCTCCAAACCCCCTTTTTCCACTTCCCAAAATTGCCTGGCATGGGCCTATGCAAACATCTGCTTCAGAAGCACAAAAGAAGAGTTGCAAAAAACAGATTCTACATTGGAGGGTACTTTTAAATCTCTTAAATTCACATTCATCCTTCTGGGCAAGACATTCACATCTGAAGTACTCAGCAAAATAAGGAAACCAGCCCTGTGCCCAAAGTTAAACTGGTATTAGACCCACAGATTTCCAAGTCTGGTGTGCTAAAAGGGGGCAACATGATTAGTGTTAAACATACTTTCCTTGTTGATAAAAACAGACATCCTGCTCAGGATAAGGCCAGATAAAAGCAGAGAAGAAACTGCTCCAACAGCAACCATGCTGCATGCAGTTTAGTTCATGAATTCCTATTTTAAGGAGGACATGGAACTCTTGAGAGTTGCTAAACAGAAGGCCATCAGGGATAGAAGACAAAACCAAGTTATTTTAACCCACTCAGTTCATCAGAGAGGGCTGAAATGACAGATATTAATCCACCTATTCACCAACCCTGTATGAAACCAAAAGCTACAAAGGAAGTTTCATTACCAGAAAAGACTGTTTACAGGAAACTGCTTGACGAAAGTGAATAAAGAGAAATGCTTTGCCAGACAGACTGCTTATGGTATCCTCTGGAAACACACGCTACGGATGGGACACTGAGCAGAGGGAAACTTCACACACCGCTGAGATTCTTTTGTATTTGTTCCCAATGAATTACCTTGATTAATTTCAGCTCGAGAAGGACCCAAGTTTTTTTTCTGCTGGGCATTTTTGGCAAGCAGCGTGTGCTTGTCATCACTGCCTGGGTCAAGTTCTGAAATGGTGACAGCAAGGATCCTGCAGAAGTTCGCAAGCTGCTGCTGATCAAAACTGGACACCAGGCTCCCAAGATTGGGAATATCATCCAGTTGGATCATTTCCTAGAGGAGGCAACATCAGGAGAGTAAGTCACACATGATAAGGGCATGGAGTTGTTGGAGCAAGGCCAGAGGAGGCCACGAGGTTTATCAGGGGCTGGAGCACCTCCCGTATGGAGACAGGCTGAGAACACTGGGGCTGTTACGCCTGGAGAAGAGAAGCTGCGTGAAGACCTCAGAGCAGCTTCCAGTGTCTGACCCTCTCCACAGAATGTATGTGGACGTTTCATTCAGGGTTTTGCCAGGGTTACACTCACCCCACACCATCCTCTGCAACAGCATTACGAGACCACATGCATCACTTGGCTGCTGCAGGAAATGTGACTGATGATCACTGTTAACATGCAGGTTTCAAATAAGCTTTAAGAGGTGGGGATGCCTGCTCAGAGGGTTATCTTCAGCAACTCAGAGACAGTTGTCCTTCCTAGCCTGAAAAGCCACACAAAGAAAGAAACCAGCAACTGACCTTTTTCACTCCCAGGATATCTTCAATGAGCGTTGCAGTTTGCAGGAATGTCTTTTTGTTTGTCATCAGTGTAAACAGGAACAACACAAAGTCGTTTCTTTCCGCCAATCGCCTTGTGACTCCTTCCGTCTAGAGAGGAGCAAATGCACACATGGACCCAAAGTCAGAGCCCACTTTGAGAAGTCACAAGTTACAGGCACATGCAGGACAGTTTTACAGATGATGTGCTGCTGAATCGGCTACCCCTGAAGCCAGGAAACATTGTGCTTACGATGACTAAAACACCATAAACAGTCCTTGCCTGAAATTAACATGCAAAACCAACAGGCTCCAGGAGGAGAGGCTTCATCTCAAGGCAGTTGTTTACTTGCTTGAATCAAAAGGAAACATTGCATGCATAGAAATACCTCAGAGAGACCTCTGGTTCCCCATGCAAACTGTAACCAGCTCCATTCCATGGTATGTAAGCACACCCCAGATGTCTGTCGGCATCGCTCCCAGCTTGGCAGAGCAACCAGAATCAAGCACTGACCTTACTGAACTCAGTGATGAACCCAACTTCATGCTTTCCCTGACTGCTGGGTTCATTAAGGTCAGCTTTCATGCTCTGATCTCTGCTGAAAGCACAGCCAGTCCTCTCTGTTATTAAACATAACTTAAAACTACATCCTTACCACTTGCAAAGCTGTTTATTATATATAACTGACACATTACCGGTGCTCACAGAGCTAGATACGTCCTGAATATTTACACATAAGCCTAAGAACACCTGATATTGCACTGACGTTTTTGTAATCCTGAATACTTCTCATTCAAGAGAATATTTATATATATATATAGTTATACTAAATTAAACCAGCTATTCTATACACTGCAAACCTGTTTCTTAGCATATTATGCCATTCACAGTTTGCAAAAGTGTCAGTCAGGAAGAGTACTCCCTCTCTTCCTGCTCCCATGTGCACACACAGTGAGAACATGATCTATTAAGACTCCCAACTCTTGAGACAGAGTTGATGTCTTTGGAAGAGCTCCAAGCCAGTAACTGCCTTTTACTTAAGTTTCTGTTCCACAGTGCTTCCTGGGTTGTGCCATAATGAAATGTGGGATTATCTTAATCCTGAGGATGTTCCCTGCATATGCATCACCCGAGGCATGTGCTTTTAGCTTCAACATTTTAAAGGCAAGGAGTTGCAACAGGCCTTTAACCAAGTATCTTCCCTAACACTGATCTGCCAACAACCAAACTGAATATTCAGCATGTGAAGGAGTTGCAGAATCCAACTTAAAACACTTTGCCAGCACTATCACTGAACTAGACGAACTGTAGCATGGGTTAGCAGGCATCCATTCCCAGCTGCAAATTTGAGGTTTGACTACAACATGGCTTGGAAACATGAGCACAAAGAGCCAAACAAGAGGATTTAAACTTGATAATGTGGTAAGAAAACAGAAATTATTTGAGTAACGCATCAAATTACAGGGTGGCCCAGAAAACACACTTCCACAGCAGTGGTACTTACACATATACATGTGTTGTACAGTATGCTTAAACAGTCCTTGATCAGGTCATCGCTTACTGCAAAGAAGAACACAGACACTCAATAGCTACACGCTGCTGAGGAGCACCAACATCCACCATAGTGACATCAACAGCTATACAACAGTGAGAATTTCAGTTTAACTCCTAGCTTAGACCATAAGTGGAAATGCTTTGGAGGATGGAAAACAGAAAGAAACACTCTATACCTGACCTCTTCATATGGTTTCTTCCAAAGCTCCCCTCAGCACTGCCTAGGACCACAAAGGGTACTTGTGGTCTAGGACACATCTTAGTGACACATTAGGAAAATATCATAGATCACAGAATTCAAAATCTGTCAATATGAGAAACTCTATAGATACATATTAGTTCCAGTTGTTAAACATGGAGGGAGTTTTCTCCACACAGCATCAGGACTTCATAGCAAACCTTCCAATCTCATTTACTCCAGCATTTTAATATTCAAAGTATGTTTTCAGTACAGACATACAACAGCTGCCTCCAGCTCAAATTCATCAAGTTACTTCACCTTTGAAGCTCGCTGGCTGCCAGGCATGGAGCGTACCATGACATTTCCTTTGCTCAGAAGGGTTCAGGGAACCAGAATGACAGACAGGAGAAACAAAAACACTAAACCAAAGCTGCTCCAGCAGAGAAGCTGTGCTAAAGCTACTGCACCCCACCTGCAAGCTCTCCTTCCAGCAATCTGGAAACTGGTTACTATGGCTAGACCAGGAAAACAGCATCAGTTACATTATCTCACAATCTCTGTAACTCCTATTACATCAAGGATGTTTTGTGGATTATTAATAACTGTTAACAGCAGCTACAGCCACAGTAACAATGAAAGTTTCCACTGACTGCAGATTGACGAGGGACATTACGCTGAGTGCATGAATGCACTGAACTGTGCTTTGCAACAGGTGACTATCCTAAATCCCATCATGAATCAGTACCAGAGGGAACAAAGAAACCAATGATTCATTTAGGAATAGGAAATCACTGGTATGGGAACACAGAAATAGAAGAATTTCTATGTGAAAAAGAACACAAGACAAGTAAAAAGAAAACCCACCCATTTACTTACTTTTCTGTTTCTTTTTCTGTGTGATAAGAGTTGGTCTCATGAGAATTTCTACTAAAAGCTGTAGTAACAAGATAAAGAATTAAGAGAATAATCATTGAGATACAAATAACCAATTCATTTGTCAGTGATAAATCCAAACTTAGTCCTGTCTCAGCTGAAGCCACAGAGGCGACTGATTACTGGCAGCTCTACAGTCAAACCCCGCTGGTGGCAAAGTTACCTTGACAAAAAATAGTTGCGTTTACCCTAAAGAAATAACAACAGTTGTATAAGACAATCTTCCACTGGCAAGTTTTAAAGCATTTGAGCCTTTAAAGAGTGTAATTTCACATGCACCCAGGTAACATCAAAGATGGCTGTCACACATCTCCCAGAATAATAAGCCTTTAGCAGTCATCTGCAAGAGATGCGAATTTAGCATCCCTAAGTGTTGCTGGGCTTCAGAACACATTCCTGGTCCAGATATAACTGAACTTAGTTTTTCCAGATTTTAAACTCACCACCAAAGAGCAAGCCACTGCTTCTGTGCATGCACCTTGTGTGGGCTGAACATCCACGTTTACACATAGGTGAAGTGTTGTCTTCATTTCTATGTTGGGAATGTAACGGTCAGCTTCCCAAGGCTAGGGCTATGGCTCTGACAGATGTTCAGACAGTCAGATGCAGAACTGACCTTCAGCTGTTCTAGAAGTTTATTTTAAAATGAGAGCTAACCACTGGAAGGAACTGATGACTTCTGCAGAAAGCACTGCAAAAAGCCCCTAACTTTAAAGTTCAGTTTAAAATCATTAAGTGCAACGTAGGCATCACCTGGTTGAGTCATGCAAACTAGGAATATACTTCTATTTTACAACCTACTCTCTCTACTTGTCCCAGTTTAACTTGGTCTTTTAATGAACCATCTACCCAGGCATGGAGGCAAACATCCAATAGCACTGGAGGCACTACTCATTTTAACCACTGATAGGTAAACAGGCAACTTTAAGAATGTCCTGGGTTCAGCTGTAACAATTGTTTTTCTTTCCAGCAGCTGGTGCAATGCTGTGTTTTGGCTTCACTCTGAGCACAATGCTGGTAACACACTGATGTTTCAGTTGATGCTCAGTAGCACTTGCCCTGATCAAGGACTTTTCATTCTCTCATGCTCTGCCAGTGAGGAGGGGCACAAGAAGCCAGGAGGAAGCAGAGACAGGACACCTGACCCAAACTAGCCAAAGGGGTATTCCATACTGCAGCATATCATGCCCAGTATAGAAACGGGGGGGAGTTACCTTGAAGGCCCAGATCACTGCTTGGGTCAGGCTGGGTATTGGTCAGTGGGTGCTGAACAATTGTATTGTGCAGCACTTGTGCTCTGAGCTTTCATTTCTTCTCTTGTTGTTTCCTATTATTATTGTTGGTATTCTATTATCAGGATATTTTACTTTATTTTAGTTATTAAACTGTTGATATCGCAATATTCATTTGATTCTCCTCCCCGCTCTGCCCTGGTGGCGGGGGAAAGGGGAAGGTGAGTGAGTGGCTGTGAGGTGCTGAGATACTGGCTGGGTTTAAACCACAACAAAAGAGGAATATACATTTTATGGAATCCCAGACTGGTTTGGGTTGGAAAGCACCTTAAGATCATCCAGATTCAACCTCCTGCCATGGACACCTTCCACTAGACCATGTCACACAAGACCCTGTCCAACCTTGAACATTGCCAGGGACGGGACACTCACAACTTCTCTGGGCAACCTGCACCAGGGCCTCACCAGAGGCAGAAGGAGCAGAAAGGGAGTTACAAGATCTTATGTCTTGGAATGTGGTTGCAATTCAGATCCAAGGTCCATGATGTTCCTGTATCAGTTCATGTGTTTGTACTTTTGGGTAATATTTTGTATGTATTCATATAAAGGCAGGACACACAAATGTGCTTTTGTTCTTTCTTGATGTAAAGGCTATCAAAATCCAAAATATCTTGCGGAGTCTCCTGTCACACATTACACATACAGAGCACACTGCAGATTTAGTGTCCTTCAAAGTTACTCGTGCTTCACAGCTCGAAGTGCAACTGCAATGTGGAGTCAGCACATGGCATACACAGAACCAGCAGATTACACTCCTTCTATTTTAAAAACACATAGAGCAGGCTTCTACAGCTGCCTTTAACCACATTAAACCCACTGGTGTCAGCCAAATCTCTAGCCATAGTACCAGGTAATTAAAGCGTAGCTGATACTTACCATCTCCAGCCCAAGTTAAAAAAAACAAACCAAAACCAGTTGAGAGGATACCAGTGACTAGACCAGTACTGATTTCAAAACAACATAACCTAAATACAAGTTTTACCTAAGTAAAGGCACGCTAAGAGAGAATTAGCAAAGACAATGTTTAGTTAGACTAAAAAGGGGGCATCAGTTTAGTGTGAGGTGCCCTTGTCCATGGCAGGAGGGTTGGAACTTGATCTTAAGGTCCTTTCCAATGCTAACTATTCTATGATTCTATGAATTCGTTTACTAGAAAACACAAATCATACATGTCTAATGAAAGCTGAAATCCCAGAGTCTGCCACCATTCAATTGAGCAATGGGTATTTGTGTAATATTGAATAAAGATAAATGTCTCCAGAAACCTTGGAGGTCTGTTTAAAAACTTTTCCATCACAGAAGCAGTCCTTATTGCATGCCAGCTATAAACACAGACAACCTGGCTAAAGGAGTGCACTAATGTGCTTAAAGAACCACCACACATCCTTCAGTTGTAAGGGAAAAGCTCAGTGCTCTCGTAGCAACTGTAGTAATCTCACAACTACAAAGCACGTGAAACTGTTTACACTGAGAACAGAGAGGTCTCACCTTTTTCACCCTAAAACCAGACTGCCTGAAGAAACAGGCAAGTCTTCTGTATCATATAAGAAAAAGCACCTCGCTTTTGATGATGGAACACCTCAGAAAATACACCCTTTTCACATTTTGATTAACAGAAACAGGCACAATTCTAACATTTAACATCAAATTGGTAAAGTCATTTTGTAGCTTCTATTTAGAAGCTTCAAAGGTCTCAAGGACCTCACAGATTTCTCAGTGGTACAACTATCATAGAGAAATCTTTTGATATTGTTGGAAAAAAACCACTTACATCGACTCCTCCAAATAAGTCAAACGTGTATGTATTTGGGAAAGTGGACTCTTGAGCAGCTTTTTTATCTTCTGTAACAGATGCCACTGCTTCCATTGAAAGAAGTGGGGAAATTTCCTGTATGCAAAAGAAGGTTCAAAGAGAAAACTGTTCATCAGTATAACACAAATGTCTCCAACTACCCGTGTTATCTACTGACTGATCAATGACACATTCCCAGTTCTTATCTACCAGCCAACTGACAGATGTTATCATACAAACAGCAAACACTCTAGAATACGATCACAGTAGACTTTAAAGAAAGAAACAACAAAATAATCCCTAGCTTTCAGGAAGAACAGTGTAGACAGTACCTTTAAGATGCTTTGGCACTGGGAGAAATCGCTGTTTGGGTGGCTATGTTGATACAGCTTCTGCAGCAGCAAGGGAATCCCACTCCATTTTGCTTGTTTATCTCTTTCCTTTAACAAGGCCTCTGTGATCTGCAACAAAAGAATAGAATTTCCACGCATCAAATGCTTCATAACCAGGAAAACCACCTTATCACCTCCCCAAAACGTCAGCATATCACACAATTTATTGTACAGAGTATCATTACAAATCCAGTACCTTTTTCCATGCAGCATTTATTCAGAACTGATAGCTGCAAAAATTTTACAGATGATCTAAGTATTTTGAGCAGGAGGGGGCTTAAAGCAGATGTTATCATTGAGAGTATTTCACCTCATGCCATATTTTTATATTGATCATAGATTTTAAAATGGGAACACATTAGTGTCCTATTAACTCCATTGGTAGAACTCCACTGAACAGGTCAGTGTGCCTTGATGCTGCCAAGATACTCTAAGATGGACAGAACACTGAAGATGGAAAGGCTTCATTACTCATCACATTCAGCTTGTAATGAGTATTTCCTCAGCCAAATCCATGAAGCCATCACTGGTCATAGCAATGGCCCAAAACATGAAGATTTACAAGCAGGCTCCAGAAGAACATACCAAAGATCCAGTAAAAGCTTCCTCTGTGGTCTGGTTATAAACAAAGGCCAACAACCAAATCAGCAGAACGACACTGGCATTACCCTCTGGGAAGCAGCCTGCAACCATCCCTTCATATTTGCTACTACATTTGTGCAAACTTTCTCCAATTTTCCCTCTTCTCCCCAAAATATATATTAAAAAAAAAAAAATCACCACTACATTTTAAACGTAGGAAGAAAAAAAAATAACAGCAGCACAAAACTAATCAATATTCTGCTTAGAACCCACAAAAGCTGTTTGAAAACTTGACCACTTCCTGCAGGTTACTGTCAGCAGATGCTGTGAAGGCGGAGCTCTTCATTGAGGTTCACCATGCAGTCAATGCTGACCTGCATTTAACTCCCTTCCTTTAACAGTACCTCAGAGGTAACTAGGCCAACCCCAGAAGAGGGCTTTGCCCTTGTACAGAAAGGTCAGACAGGCAGCAAGAGTTAGAGCAGGATTTCTGGCTGGTGTGACAGAATTTTTATATGCCCACCAGATTAACAAACAAGCCCCCAGGAAACTGCAGTCCTCAGGTGAGCCAGACCGCATCTCAACGCGACAGTTGTGGAGCTTCTTTTACTCCAGGCCTAAATCTCTAAGCTGCTCCCATTCTGGGTAACTCACTCCCAGCCTTTCTGTGGCTAACTTTGTAGAATGGTTTGAGTTGGAAAGGACCTTAGGATCATCCAGTTCCAAACCCCTGCCATGTAATCCAAGGCTCCGGACAACCTGGCCTTGAGCACTGCTAGGGATGGAGCATTTACCACTTCCCTGGGCACCCTGTGCCAGCGCCTCAGCACCTCACAGTAAAAAACTTCTTCCTTAGATCTAACCCAAACTTCCCCCGTTTTAGTTCAAACCCATCACCCCTTGTCCTATTGCTACAGGCCCTGATGAAGAGTCCTTCTCCGGCATCCTTGTAGCCCCTTTCAGATACTGGAAGCTGCTGTGAGGTCTCCATGCAGCCTTCTCTTCTCCAGGCAGAACAGCCCCAACTTTCTCAGCCTGTCTCCATACAGGAGGTGCTCCAGCCCCTGATCACCCTCGTGGCCTCCTCTGGAGTTGTTCTAACAGTTCCATGTCCTTTTTATGTTGAGGACACCAGAACTGCACACAGTGCTGCAAGCGGGGTCTCACGAGAGCAGAGTAGAAGGGCAGGACCTCTTCCTTCGACCTGCTGTCACGCTTCTAACTTGTATTGTTTCCTTTCAGCCTCCCTAGATGTTCACTGTTAATAGTTAACAGTCAGGAAAGCTTCCTTCTTATTGTTTCAGTCAAGACATCCTCCTCAGACACCCCTCTGTGTACAATTCTAAAAGGTCACTGCATTCTGTATTAGACAATTACATGCAAATATACTCCAGTTTCTGACTGAGAATTTACCCCTTTTCTCTGTTGCTAGACACCATACAGGAAAACCAGAAAACTGGGGCAAGCACATGAAACTTCAAACTGGCAATGTTAGGTCCTCACCCTTCCTCTAAGCTTCCCAGATAGCTAAGGTTCTTTTCCTGATGAGAACTTCAAGGCTCTTGAAGTATCGGGTTTTCTTGCTACAGGGGCTGACTGAAGCAGCATAAGCAAAACTGGGACATAAAACTCTCTAGTTTTTAACTCTTTGCTGCTTTGACTTCTGAATGAGAGTGATCACTACTGGGGAATGATGACAGAGTTTCTTCTGAGGAGGCCATTCAGAGGCAGAACAAACCCAGAAATCAAAGGGCTTCTCACTGTTTGTCCCGCGGGCAATGGGTCAGCTCCTCTGAAGTTACAAATTTCCATCTCTCCTTGTAACACCCAGCACAGAGATGAAGAGGAGCTCCAACACTGCCCATTTCAGGTGTGGCAGAAGCACACAGCCCCACGAGCAGCAGAAACTGGATTCATTGCAAAGAATGTGCAGCAAAATGCCAGGGAAAGAATCCAACTCTCCAGCTCCAACTGATGTGCAAGATACCACAGGCAAAGATGACGTGCATGGGCTGCAATCTCTGCTTCCAGTAGCACAATGGAGAATTCAGCATCCAAGTGCTCTCAGAAACAGCCAAAAGCTCTTTACCAGTGTTAAAAGCTTGCACTGGGTTTAATACTGCATTTGTTAATCACATGTATGCTTCTTGGTTTGGGCAGGATCCATCCCCATTCCCATCTCTGTACCAGTAGGTCTTCCTCTCCCTGTGCTGGACTCCAAGGCAGCCACTTATGCTGATCTGCAGAAACCTTTCAGAACTGAAATTCTGACAGAATGAAGCAAATGTTTCCTTGCTCTTGTCTTCCTTTAACTGCTTTCAAAACAAAGTTTTCTTTCTCTTATTTAATACATGCCTTTGGTTTCCTTGCAAGCTCCAGCTTGTGGTCCCTGTTCAGTATTTATGAGGCTAGCCTGGCTCTGAATATTTCCATTGTGGTGGGGTGATATCTGCCAATGCAAAGATTTTAGATTCTGTGGAGGGATTAAAATTCAACTGGATTGTATGGAGCTGTCTGTCTTTACAACCATTCTGGTTAAAAACTGCATCTCCTGATTTCTGGAACAGCATATACATGAAAACTGTTCACTACATGCTAAGTGGGTTTTTCCCTCTTGCTCTTTTTGTTATTGAAGAGTCATCAAAATTAGCTCTGGGTCTTTGGGGGCCCCCTTCCCGCTAGAATTCTTTGGTTCAGCACCAATTTCTCACACATTTTCTTCAGTCACTGAATAGTTCTGAATAAAACAGCTGAAATCTTGCATATGAAGCTTGAGAAGTCACATACTCTCCAGCAAGAAGGGAAGGCTGCAAAAGCCCAGCTGTAAATGGCATCAATTAAGACAGAGGCCAATCTAACCAGTGGTTGCTGGGGTTAGGAACCATCACACATTCCTGGCATTAGCAGATGACAGAGTAAGTACCGATTACTGGGAAAACAAAAGGACCAGCGTCAGAACTTCTCTACACCCCAGTGCAGCAACCAAACTGGTACAAACACCAAGCTCCACACAGTCATTTCTCAGAAGTTTGCAGTAACACAGCCAAGTCTTGAATCACAAATTGAGAAACCTGGGGAACAGCACGCTGTGGCCCTCCAGAAGCAGACCATCCAGGCAGGCCTCTGAAACAAGGCAGCACACACCAGCTCAAGCCCAGCACAGAGCTCCCAAGCTATGTCACCAGCCAAAGTGGTCTGATTAATGTCAGTTTTACACCAGCACTTCACTGAATGCTGTTCACCAGCCAAGGGATCAGGTACCTGACTAGTCCCATCCTGGCTCGCTCCAGCTGTGCTTCTGAAGCCACAGCACTGCGGATTTGCTGCAAGGGCAATCAAAGGCTTCCGGATGGATTTAAGCACAGAGGTAAAAATGTGTCATCGAGCCCAGCCATGACAGTGAGTGGAGCAGACAGAGCGGTTCCTCTGCAATCCCAGAGTAGTTTGTGTTCAAAGGGATCTTAAAGCTCATCCAGCTCCAACCCCTGCCACGGGCAGGGACACCTTCCACTAGAGCAGCTTGCTCCAAGCCCCTGTGTCCAACCCCACCTTGAACACTGCCAGGGATGGGGCAGCCACAGCTTCTCTGGGCACCCTGGGCCAGCGCCTCAGCACCCTCACAGGGAAGAGCTTCTGCCTAAGAGCTCATCTCAGTCTCCCCTCTGGCAGGTTAAAGCCATTCCCCTTGGCCTGTCCCTACAGGCCCTTGTCCCAAGCCCCTCTCCAGGTTCCTTGTAGCCCCTTTAGGCACTGGAGCTGCTCTAAGGTCTCCCCTTCAGGAGCCTTCTCTTCTCCAGGCTGACCCAGCCCAGCTCTCTCAGCCTGGCTCCAGAGCAGAGCTGCTCCAGCCCTCACAGCATCTCCATGGCCTCCTCTGGCCTTGCTCCAGCAGCATCATGTCCCTCTTGTGCTGTTGCCCCAGAGCTGGATCAGGACTGCAGGGGGGGTCTCCCCACAGCACAGCAAAGGGCAGAATCCCCTCCCTCAACCTCTGAGATTGCAATCGAGCACACAGGAGGTGGGGGGTGGGTCTGGGCTTAAGTGCACACTGGTGGCTTATGTTGAGCTTAAAGTCTCCCGAAGGACTGGACTCCAGGATTTCCCAGGAGATGACTCCAAAGACCACCATAGGAATAGTTCCCTACTATAGAGTTTAAGTAACCAACTTTTGTGCATAATCTTTTCTTGAAAGTATAAGAAGGGCTGAACCACATGCAAATCTAAGTATTTCTTTTAAATTTTTAATCCTCCTGTGTTATAAATCCTTTTAGAACACCCCAGTATCCATTAGCATAACAATCTAATATAACTAATTATAATACTTAAATCTTCCTTGAGGTATATTGAGTTATATGTTAATATCTACGTAAATCCATCCCTGGATCAGCTTAGTTCTCCCTTCCTTTCTCGCCCTCACTTTGCTATGGGTTTTGTTGCTGATGTTCCTGCCCACGACCACTACTCTCCAGGCACAGCTCCTCCAACGG